AGTCGACTCTGAGGATCCCTTCGTACTTGTTTTTATCATTGTTTTTCAACTTATTTATATAGAAAGCAAATTTTTTAACTACTTTTCTATCCGATTTTATTTTATACAGAAAAAGCTTTTTTTCGGTAAAAATTTCAATGTAGTATGTTATTAAATATTGGTTGTATTATATATATATATATATATATATATATATATATATATATATATATATATATATATATATATATAAACAAAAGATTGTAAATAATATATTGGCTCCAGAGGATCACTTTGTGCTGATCCAATTTTCTCCTTATTATTAGTATTTTTGCCGGTAGCAAAGTTACTGGCAAATTTATGTACTTCTTAATATATTTCATTGACAAAATAAACTTTTTAGAATAAAATTTCAATTGTTTTTTTTTAAGTAATGAAGATATTTGTGAAACCACCCCACAATTTTTGAGTGATTTTTTTCAAAATGTACGAACATTAAAACTAATCAATTTATTTTAATAATAATAATAATACAATCTTAAACATTTATGAAGCGCCCATTCGCACAGCTGCTTCAGAGGCACCCGGAGCCCGTGTTAAAAAGATGAGTCTTTAATCCCTTTTTGAAAAGACTCAACGAGGAACATTGTCTTAACTCAGGAGGTAACGCATTCCAGACATACGGAGCAGCGTGACGAAAACCGCGGCCAGCCAGGCGGGATCCGGCAACGGGAATGTTTAGGAAACCTGTTGAGCTGCTGCGGAGTGATCTAGTATGTTCATGTCTGGATATGAGGTCGTATAGATATGTTGGGGATTTTAATAAAAGGGTTTTGAAGGTAAGGACTGCAATTTTGAAGATCATTCGAGCGGAAATTGGAAGCCAATGAAGCATTAGATAGAGAATGGAAGAACTAAAACGAGGAGGTTTATTAAATATCAGTCTAGCAGTTTTATTTTGGATAGTCTGTAGCTTTCTGACAGATGCTCGTGACGCCCCATACAATAAGGAGTTGCAGTAGTCTAATCTAGAAAGGATCAAACATCTGCAAAGGACAGCAGCAACATCACATGTAATCATGTCTAATATGTCTTATTGTGCAGAGGTGATAGTTGCAGGATCTGACGATTTCTGATACGTGTTTATCAAAATTTAGATGTCTGTCAAAAGTGACCCCAAGCAACTTGATCGCATTCGAGACAGGCAATGTGGACCCTGCTATGTCCATTTCCTCAAGCTGAAACCTCGACAGTTGTTGATGTGTCCTAATGACCATTATTTCAGATTTGTTAGGGTTGAGAAGAAGAAAATTATTAGCATACCACCGATAAACCTCGCTAGTACAATTGCTTAAGACTCGAATGCTGCTTTCAAGATCGCCAGAAGTGACAGATGTATGCAGATGAGTGTCATCGGCGTAGTGATGAGAAAATAATCCATTTTTACTGAAAATGTCGCTAACAGGAGACACATAGGTAGTGAACAAAATTGGACCGAGGACGGAACCCTGAGGGACTTCAGTGTCGATCAAGCAGGTAGAGGAAGTATGGTTTCCCAGCTTCCCAATTTACTGTCTGCAGCTCAGGTAAGATCTAATCAGTGATAGTGCATGACCATCCACCCCGACTTGTTATAGGTGTTCGAAAAGAACCGAGTGACTGATGGTATCAAAAGCAGCGGACAAGTCGAGCCCAACTGCAATGATTACCTTTTGGTTGCCAGTCTCATTAAAAATATCATCAACAATGTGTAGCAATGCAGTCTCAGTGGAATGATGAGAACGATAAGCAGATTGAAGATTTGGATAGTTATGATTGGACATTAGGTGGGCACGTAGTTTTAACAATATGACGCGCTCAAGTAGCTTTGAGAATGTTGATAAGTTTGATATAGGGCGGTAATTTGACGAGTCATCAGGATCCAAGGATGGTTTTTACAGTAGTGGTAGAACCTGAGCAGTTTTATAAAGCATCCCGTGCTGAAGACAGAGTTAGTCAGCTCGACAAGAATAGGTGAAATGAAATTTAATGAAATTTATAACACATATTAACAAATAATACAAAAACAAAACAAATAAAAATTATTTTCCAAAATCAAAAGATGTTTTGTACAAAATATTTTGAAAAAATAAAACGTTTTGAACATTTTCACGTTTTTGGAGCGTCATAGCTCCTAATCTACCGCAAAATAAATAATCGTTCAATCATATATTTATAGTATTTTATAGTCTTAATTGATTTACAAAATATTGTTAAAATTTGTTCACAATTTTTTGAGTTATTGGCCTTTAAAATATCAAAAAATTAAAAAACTCATTTTGTTTGGCACTATTTTTAACAATGAAGCACTTTTTAAATTTTTATTGTTTTGTATAGTGATTTTGTAGATTAACAACTAATCAAAAAACAAAATTGGTGCTTTCATTTTTTAAAAAAGATAAAAAATTCAAAAACAGTGTAAATTTTTTAAGATTTTTTTCATCTTTGATTTTACAACAGTTGCACAGTAAGTTATTTTAATTTTTTTGATAAATAATTTGATATCACCAGGAAGAACCACCAAAATACGCTTAAAATGGTATCCAACTAATCATGTCGTTCTTAGGTTAAAAAATATATAAAAAAATTGACACGTTAAAAAAATTTTTTTGCTAATTTTCTTTATTTAACGAAGAAAAACACCAATATTATTTGTTATATGTTATTAAGCTATACAAAACAATGTGAAAAATATTTTTTTTAAATTCTTCATAGTTGAAAATGGTGCCAAAAAATGAGCTTTTAAATTTTGACATTTTGAAGGCCAATAGCTCAAAAAATTGTTAACAAATCTTTACAATATTTTGTTCATCAATTAAGGCTATAAAGTTCTCTGAAAATACAATTAAACAATTATTTATTTTGCGAAGCTAGGACGTTGCAAAAACTTTCAAAATTCCGTTTTTTCAAAATTTTTCTGCAAAATATCATTTGATATAGGATAATTTCTACTTGTTTTGTAATAATATTATTTGTTAATATGTCCACTAAATTTCATGATAAATTGGTTAGTTTAATAGATATGGCGATCTATATTGGTACAAGTTTTGAAAAAAATTACTCAAAAATTGGAGGGTGGTGTCAAAAAATAACTGGAATATAATAAATAACCAATTTCAAGTTATGACAAATAATTAAAATTTTTTTTTATAAAACTTTTGTTTTGTTGAGGAAATACATTGAGGAACATATTGTTGAAATTTAAAAATTTAAAAAATGCCAGACATGGTCGGGCGTAAACATATTTTAAAATCGTTCAAAATGACAGAGAATGACCGATATATATATATATTATATATATATATTATATATATATATATATCGTTTTAATTCCGTTTTTTCAAAATTTTTGTGCAAAATATCGATATATATATATATATATATATATATATATATATATATATATATATAAATGTATATATATATATATAAATGTATATGTATATATATATACAATATTCTATAAATTTTACCGAATGTTTGACGTTAATATGTTTGTAGTTCGCTTTTTCAATTTTTTTCACTAAAGTTTTTTGGTGAACGTTTAGTTTATTAAAATTCAAAATAAACTTCCGAATTCATGCTGCAAATAAGGCCATATTTCGATTCCGAATGATTCATCATCAGTGCTTTCTGCTGTTTATATAGGGAAATATTGACTTTGTCTGACAAACGTTCACCAAAAATATATATATATATATATATATTTCAAAAATTCAACACTACTTTCAACATTGTTCAACTTTTTTCAAATGTCTAATTTCTCCGAAATTAATAAATTAAAAAGAAATATAAAAAAGTTGAACAATGTTGAAAGTAGTGTTGAATTTTTGAAATGTTGCGTTAACAACAGTCTGTTACCAAAATATATATATATATATAATATATATATATATATAACGCCATATTATAACTTTTTGTGACACTATTATTTGATTTCTGTTGTTCTAATGAGATTTACCATTTATACCCAGAGATCTGAGAATGCTCGCTCTAAAATAAATAAAGAGCGTGCAATATCTTTTTGACAGTGGTCCTCTATTTTCGCTACTACTTTTGATCAACATGTGTTGCCTAATCCATTACTCTATACGTAATTTATGCCCTTGCCATCTCACCAATCCTCAACTTTCTTTTTTAAAATTAATAAAAGTAAATATTTTTATCCATGCTTTCCTTGCAATTGTCTTGGCATACACAAT